GTGATTCCATTTGTTATCCTTTAGAAGCATCACAAGGAAATTTGTTATTTTTGTTAAGTTCTGTTGAGTCTGTTCAGACTCATGACAACCCTGTATAGTGTTTCTGAGGAGTGGCTGGTGGGTTTGAACCAACGACCTTGTGGTTAGAAGTCCAATGCTTATCCTACAGCGCCACACCAGGACACCAATGAAAATATAGTTAGTTGTTAATTACCTGGAGTCCTGGTGTGGCGCTGTAGGATAAGCACTGGACTGACAGGTTGTTTAAACTACAATATCAGCAGTTCAAACTCACCAGCCACCCCTTGGACCCTATACAGAGTCCCTGTGAGTCGAAACCTACTTGAGGACACTTAACAACAGCAGCATTTGACATTCACATTGTTGTTGTTGTTAAGTGCCATTGAGTCAGTTCTGATTCATAGGGACCCTGTACAGGGTTTCTGAGGAGCAAGTGATGAGTCTGAACCACTGACCTATAGTAGTCTAGTGCTTTGAATTTGTAAAACAACAGATTATTTGCTTTTCCTGTTGTGGGCATGGCCGATAGTCCTCGCCTGCTTTAGCCACTTATTTGTAATTGCACTTATTTTAATTCTTCCAATGCTTCACCTGCCGTTGCTATATAGAAGCAGGGCCAGCAACGTAGCAGAGGTAACTGTTGACCAAATCACGAGAATGAGTAAATCCTGAAGTATTGGACGTGAGCAGTCTCCAACTCATGTGATCAAGAAATAAAAAGAAATGGATTAATTTTTTATTTTAGGTAAAAATGAAGTTGTTAAACAGTAAATTTCTCTGACAATATCCTTTTTTGTTTATAATTTCTCTGACTGATAAGCTTTAATGTGTGGTTTAATACTATAAATGTGAACACAAAATGCTAATACTATGTGTACCTGTGTGCGAATACAGAAAAAACAAACTTAAAATGCTTAAGAATATGCATTTGTGCTAAAATTCATCACCACTGCTTCTAGCCATTTTCCTTAGATATTATGGAAATTTAAAAGTCAGTGTATAATTTTTAATAGTTCAATGAAAGAAAACCATTGTAAGAAACATTTATAATTGCCGCAAATTTTACCATATAAAGAATCACTGTTTTCTCTAACTTGTTTCTCTTTACCTCTCTGTTTTTTGTTAAAGATCTCTGATGTGATCTCCGTGAGTGAGAAACCCCTGACAGAACAGGACTGGTACCATGGTGCAATTCCCAGAATAGAAGCCCAAGATCTGTTAAAACAACAAGGAGACTTCCTGGTGCGAGAGAGCCATGGGAAACCTGGTGAATATGTCCTTTCTGTATATTCTGATGGACAAAGGAGACACTTTATCATACAGTTTGCTGATGTACGTTTCCAGCTTAGTTTTACATGTCTATTTTATTATATTTTGTTGTGGCCTACTTGTAATAAGGTGTTGAGTAGTTTGTGACAAATGCCTTTAGCACTTAAAAATTAACTATGTTGTTGTTGTTGTTAGGTGCCATCAAGTCGGTGCCGATTCATAGCAATCTTATGATAGAATGTTACATCTCATTAAAGGAATATGTACTTACAGTGTTTTGAATTAATATAAAGATGTTTAAATTACATTTAAATGTCTAAGAATTTTAAATATTTAAAGTTTAGTTTGAATATTAAGGGTATTTCAAATGAAAAATAAGAAATAATGTGATATTATCAAAAATTTTCTTTGTTTTCTCATAAACATATTTAGGTTTAAGAATGTTATGCTATTGCAATTGATCCTTGAAATTGCCTTTAAAAATCTATCTGTTAGTGATTTTTGTGAACTATTTATATATTTTTAACTTTTTACTGTGAATTGAGTGAAGGTTTACAGATAAGATCATCAGTTTTGCATGCAACAAATCACATACTTTGTTTAATCTCAGTGATTACAATCCCCTCCATGGAACAACAGTTATCCTACTTCCTCCCTATGGTTCCTGCTTCCATTTCACACTCCTTCCTATCCCTTCTCAACTTTGTCCTTAAGTAATACTGCCTTTTGATCTTGAATGATTGACCATCGCATGGTGAGTATATTACTGTGTCTTTGTCTCCATTGATACGGCGCTGCAGGATAACACATTGGACAACAAGGCCAGTTTGAACTGCAGGGTCGGTGGTTCACACCTACCAGTCGCTCCTAGGAAACCCTACACTGGGTTGCTATGAGTCAGAACTGACTCTGTGACACATAAGAGCAACAACCTGTACCTATCTACTGCTTGGCTGAAACTTGGGCCATGAGGGTGAGTTCCTTTCCAGCCTTGAAGGGTAGTTGAGGGCCATAGTCTTGGGTTTCTCCAGGTTCTTTCTGACCAGTAAGCCTGGTTTTAACAAATACTTTGATGTATAAATAGTACAAATGAAATTCATTATTGACTGAAATAATCATATTTGAATCGCTTTGTGATTTATTAGGATTGTACCAACCCCACTTAAGTTCATGCTTGTAGTCATTAATAAACAACAAATAAAAATTGATAAAAAAGAAAAAAAATTATCTATTTACATTACTTCCACCACTCGTCTGTCAATTTGTCTTACTGTGGTGGCTTGTGAGTTGCTGTGATTCTGGAAGCTGTGCCATTGGTATTTTAAATACCAGCAGGGTCACCAATGGTGGACAGGTTTCAGATGAGCTTCCACACGAAGACAGACTAGGAAGAAAGAGTGACAAACTACTTCGGAATATTTAGTCACTGAAAACCTTATGAATAACAGAGAAACACTGTCACATAATGTGCCAGAAAATGAGTCCCCCAGGTTGGAAGGCACTCAAAATGTGGCTGGGGAAGAGCTGCCTCCTCAAAATAGAGTTGACCGTGATAACGTGATTAGAGTAAAGCCTGTGGGAGTAAAACCTTCGTTTGCAGATGGGGCACAACTCAAAATGAAGAGAAACAGCTGTAATCATCCATTAATAATCGGAAAATGGAATGTACAAAGTAGGAATCTAGGAAAATTGGAAACTGTCAAAAATGAATTGGAACACATAAACATCGATATGTTAGGCATTATGAGCTGAAATGCACTGGTATTGGCCATTTTGAATCTGACAAACAAATGGTTTACTATGCTGGTAATGACAGATTGAAGAGGAATGGCATTGCATTCATTGTCAAGAAGAACATATCCAGATCAGTTATGAAGTACAGTGCTGTCTGTGATAGGATAATATCCATGCACCTACACGGAGTCCTGGTGTGGCACTGTGGACTAATGCATGAGACTGCAAAGTTGTTTGAACTACAAAATTGGTGGTTCAAGCTCACCAGCTGCTCCTTGGAAACCCTATACAGGGTTGCTATGGGTCGGAATCGACTTGATGGCACTTAACAACAACAACAAAAGGGAAGACCAGTTAATACCACTATTATTCAAATTTACACACCACCCACTAAACCCAGTGAGGCTGAAATAGAAGAATTCTACCAACTTTTTCAATCTGAAATTGATCAAACATGCAATCAAGGTGTATTGATCATTAGTAGTGATTGGAATGCAAAGGTTGGAACCAAAGAGGAAGGATCAGTAATTGGAAAATACGGCCTTGGTGATAGAAATGATGCTGGAGATCGCATGATAGAATTCTGCAAAACCAATGATTTGTTCATTTCAAATACCTTCTTTAGACAACATAAGAGATGACTATACACATGACCCTCACCAGATGGAATGCATAGAAATCAAATTGACTACATCTGCGGAAAGAGACAATGGAAAAGCTCCATATCATCAGTAAAAACAAGGCTGGGGCAGATTGTGGAACAGACCATCAATTACTCATATGCAAATTCAAACTGAAGTCAAAGAAAATGAAAACAAGTCCCCATGAGCCAAAATATGACCTTGAATATATCCCACCTGATTTCAGAAATCATCTGAGGAACCAGTATTCCATAGAGTTCATTATATAACATTGCTGTTATTTGACTAGAAGGGCCTTAATAAATAACTAGCTTCAAGTCAAATTCTGAAGAGGCCGTGGAATGAGGGTTATCATTGCTCATGCCCAATGGATCTTGGCTGAAAGCAGAGAATATTAGAAAGATGTTTACCTGTGCTTTATTGACTACACAAAGGCTTTCGATTATGTGGATCATGACAAGCTATGTACAACATTATGAAGTATGAGTATTCCAGAACACTTAATTGTGCTTATGAGGAATCGGTACCGGGACCAAGAAGCAGTTGTTTGAACAGAGCATGGGAACTCTGAATGTTTTAAAATTAAGAAAGGTGTGCGACAAGGTTGTATTCTTTCACCATACTTATTCAACCTCTATACTGAGCAGATAATCTGAGAAGGTGGGTTCTTTGAAGAAAAACGTGGCACCAGGACTGGAGGAAGACTCATTAATAACCTGCGATATGCAGATGATACAACCTTGCTTGCTGAACATGAAGAGGACTTAAAACATTTACTGATGAAGATCAAAGAGCACAGCCTTCGGTGTGGATTGCATCTCAATGTAAAGAAAACAAAAATCCTCACTACTGGACCAATAAACAACATTCTTATCAATGGGGAAAAGATTGAAGTTGTCAAGGACTTAATTCTTCTTGGATCAACTATCAACACTCATGGAAGCAGCAGTCAAGAGATCAAATGACATACTGCATTAGGCAAATCTGCTGCACAAGACCTTTTGAAAGTGTTGAAGAGTAAAGATGCCTGATCCAAGCCATGGTGTTTTCAATAACCTCATATGCATACGAGAGCTGGACAGTGAATAAGGAAGACCATTGAAGAATTTATGCTTTTGAGTTAAGGTGTTGGAAAGAAATATTGAAAGTGCCATGGGCTACCAAAGCACCAACAGATCCGTTTTGGAAGAAGTGCAGCCAAGAGTGCTCCTTGGAGGCCAAGATTGCCAATCTTCATCTCTCATACTTCAGACATATTGTTAGGAGGGACCAGTCTCTGGAGGACATCATGTTTGGTATGGTGGAGGGTCAGAGAAAAAGAGGAAGACCCCCAATGAGATGGATTGGCCAAGTGGCAGCGTAGATGGACTCAAGTGTGGCAACAATAGTGAGGTTGGCCCAGGATTGGGCAGTGTTTTGTTCTGTTGTTTATAGGGTCACTATGAGTCGGTAACAACTTGATGGCACCTATGAACTACAAACTTGTATTACTAACAAAAAGGAAAGGGTCAGCTTGAAAATGATCAGTGTTCTTTAATATCACACATTTGTTTTAAATGGGTAAAATGAACAGCTTAACATATACTAAAAAAAATAGTCATTGGTACAGGTTCCTTTTGAAAGGTTTTATTCAGCTTTCTTCTGTCATTGAGATTAAAGATCTGAATTGAAGAGGAGCGCACTTGTATTTAAGTAAATGCCTTAGATTTTGAACAGCCTATATTCTGTTCTAATGAGCTTTCATCATATGAAGCTGAGCTCTTTGGGCCATTGAATATAGGAGTTTGAGCTGTTAGGGAGTTTTTAATTCTTTTATATTTTTTGTAGGTGAATCTACTATGAGCTGAAATCATTGCATTTCTTCTTCATGTACCTGCTGCCTTGAAGTAGGCAAAAAATGAAATAATTTATTATTAGATATTTAATGATTGTCTGTTATATTCCAATCAAGGAGTTTATAATCCAGGATTAGATTGTTAAAGAAATATATATATATATAAATGAAATGACAGATGTGTTAGGAGAGTAATAGATAAAGTAATAATGGTCTCTTACAGAAGGAGAGAGATATCAGAGAGTATGGTGGTGAGAAGAGCTTTAAGCTTGGAGTCAGAAGACTTAAGTTTCAGTGTCTGCTTCATATTTTATAAGCTCTGTTGTTGTTGTTGTTAAGTGCCTTTTGAGTCGGGTCCGACCCATAGCGACCCTGTACAGGGTTTCCGAGGGTGTAAATCTTTACGGGAGTAGAAAGCCTCATCTTTCTCCCGCGGAGCAGCTGGT